TTTAGATGAAATACGACACAATTAATATGGCAGTAAATCAATCCTGGGCTTGGGACTCAGAAATTGTATCTATACGATAGAGATAAAGTACATTAAGGCGGTTGTTATCGCAGAGTAAAGCCTGACTGGTTTATCGGCAGCCTGACACAAAGCGGAGTTCTGTTGTATAAGACTGAAGGGCTTTAATTTGCGAAAACAACCATCCTGGATGTACTTTATCCCGCTTATTACATGGCTACTTTTCACAAAACATAACAATTAGACACAAAAACATTGTACTGAGCTGTAATAGTTTAACTGTTAACTTTAGTTTAACGCAAAGCTAGCAGGAACTAAAACAGCTGATGGAGTATACTCTAAATTGCGCATTCAGTCACAAGATGTTGCCAAACAGTCAAAAACGCAAAGCTGACAGAAACTAAAACAGCTGATGGAGTATACACTAACCTGTGCATTACTGAGTCACAAGATGGAGACAAACAGTCAAAAACACAAAGCTGACAGAAGCTAAAACAGCTGATGGAGTATACACTAACCTGTGCATTACTGAGTCACAAGATGGAGACAAACAGTCAAAAACACAAAGCTGACAGAAGCTAAAACAGCTGATGGAGTATACACTAACCTGCGCATTATTCAGACACAAGATGGAGATAAACAGTCAAAAACACAAAGCTGACAGAAGCTAAAACAGCTGATGAAGTATACTCTAGCCTGCGCATTATTGAGTCACAAGATTGCACCAAACAGTCAAAAACACAAAGCTGACAGAAACTAAAACAGCTGATGGAGTATACACTAACCTGCGCATTATTGAGTCACAAGATTGCACCAAACAGTCAAAAACACAAAGCTGACAGAAACTAAAACAGCTGATGGAGTATACACTAACCTACATATTATTTATTCACTAGACGATGCCAAACAGTTACATATCAGATACGTATGAATGTGTACGTAACTATATGGATGTGAACGTATTCACTGATGGTCACGGTGATTCGAAGTTCACGGAGAGCCTGTGTTATTAAGCGGTAGTTATCTAGAAATAACATGTCTTGTAGTGTTGCGACTGACCAATCAAAATTGAATTTTCCAGACAGCTTTGTATTAATGTAGTAAAATATAACAAATAGCATCTGATTTGTGGTTTGCGGCTGGAATAGTTGGTTCATTCCGCCGTGGCGACCCCTGATAAATAAGAGACTAAGGAGACTGAATGAGTGAACGATTTGTGATAAACTATATGTGTGTAAACATGTAATGTGCTACACTTCTAAAAATATATTTGACTTTGGAAAAGGGGCAAAAACCCAGTTTTTACTTGGTGACTTTACACATTAAAGAGATGTAAACTGTTTGCTACTGATGAAACCTACTGTAGCGGCATCCACTGACTCTCATATGCGCTAATGAGAACATTTAGTCTTGGAGACGACCTCTATTGTTTTCTGTAACTTGCACATTTCAGCACGAGCCTGCATCACGCTTCCTTCCACTTGAGTGTTTCTCTGTACTCGAGCCCGTATTATTGTGTCTCCTTTCCTGCACCTGAACACTGCTAAAAAAGTAATTAAAGTGTTTGCATTGTCAGTCAAACAAAGGTAGTGTTTTTTTTTTTCAGTTTTTAAAGTGACACCAAAATTTATGTACCAAGACACTACCTCACAAAAGTCTTGTCGTCAATCCCAGTTTTAAAAGCAACAAATAATAACTTGACTCCTGGTTGATCAGTTGAAAAGTGTAAGATGATGGATTTTTCTGATGAATCATCTGTTGATCTGCATCCCAATCATCACAAATACTGCAGAAGACCTACTGGAACCAACATGGACCCAAAATTCTCAGAGAAATCAGTCAAGTTTGGTGAAGGAAAAATCATGGTTTGGGGTTACATTTAGTATGGGGGTGTGCGAGAGATCTACAGAGATCAGGCAACATCAGCAGCCTGAGGTATCAAGACATATGTGCTGCCCATTACATTACAAACCACAGGAGAGGGACAATTCTCCAGCAGGATAGCGCTCCTTCTCATACTTCAGCCTCCACATCAAAGCTCCTGAAAGCAAAGAAGGTCAAGCTGCTCCAGTATTGGCCAGCCCAGTCACCAGACTTGAACATTATTGAGCATGTCTGGGGTAAGATGAAGGAGGAGGCATTGAAGATCAATCTAAGCAATCTTGATGAACTCTGGGAGTCCTGCACGGCTTTCTTCGCCATTCCAGATGACTTTATTAATCAGTGATTTGAGTCATGTCAGAGATGTATGGATGCATTCCTCCAAGCTCATGATGGAGTCAGACACAATATTCATTCTGTCTCCACTGCAGCAGGACTTTATATTCTATACTGGACATTATTTCTGTTCAGTGATGAGACTTTAGTCTAAGCAGAGTCAGACCTTACTGTCCTAATGAAATCCGTCAAAATCAAGGCTCGATCATCTTTTATTTTGGTTTAATAAGTGTAATCTAGAGGCCTTTGCCTCTCATATAAGCCACATCTGACCAGAAGTCAAGCTATTATTTGTTGTTCCTAAAACTTGGATAGGCGACAAGACTTTTGTCAAGTAGTGTTCATGTACGTATCTTTAATAAAATTCGCTGAAATTCTCCAAAGTCCATAATCCATCTAAGAGTTCTCACATGCTTGCTAGCAAAAATGTTTCACCAGTGTAAAAATTGCATTCCTGACATTTTTGATGGCTCCCTCATCTTGTTCCTCACTATTCTCATTAAGTCTCTTGCCATTGATTGCTTATCTCTTTTTTTTTATGTCTATATATCAATCTAAGCACACACTACTTCAATGGTAGCATCCAAGTATGCCGTTAAAGCATGCTTATTACACACTAGCGTCATCAGCTTCCCACTTAGAAGCCTTCAAGCTTCCATTAAAGATCTTAGCAGTCTAAGTCATCCTGACACTGAGCTGGTAAATAGGGCTCAGGGAAAGAGCTTGGTATGAAAAGAATTTTGCACATGAAGGCTAAATCAGATTGCTTAGTAATTATCTTGGGGAACGTTCAGAGTGCTGCATTGTACCATGCACTGTACACTTGAACTGTGCCCAAGCTATTTTTGCAGGAAAGGAAGTTGTAATTCATGTGCATCTGTAAGGTGATGGGTTCGCCTCACCACATGTACCCTTGTTCACCAGTTTATGCCATTTTTGTTGTGTCAATTGTGCCAGCATGTTCACATTGAAAGTCACTAAACGTAAAAAATAGTGCACTTCAAATGTCAAGTGTCCAAACTCGGTCCTGGAGAACCGGTATCCTGCAGATTTTGGCTCCAACTTGCCTCAACACACCTCTACAGATGTTTCTAGAAAGCCTAGTAAGAGCTTTATTAGCTAACCCAGGTGTGTCTGATTGGTGTTGGAACTAAAGTTTGCAGGACACTGGCCCTCCAGGACCGAGTCTGGGCACCCCTGGTCTAGATGATGCGTTTATTTTGGTGAAAAACGGAAGTATGGAATTGTGGACGCTTCATGCACCCAAGTGTTGCTGATTATGTTGTCTTTTATTTTGGATTTGCAAAATAACCTTACAAAATACATGGAGTACATGGCGCAAACTGCATTTTGGTCATTTTGGATTTTCATGTCACTTATTGTAAGTGATTTATTCACTAACGCCAATCTATATCCAACTAATACAGTAGTCAACATTTGATGTGGATCAAAAACATTTTTCAAAATTGTCATAAGTCAAGAATTGGTGTTGTTTAATACACTACCTGACAAAAGTCTTGTCATCGATCCCAGTTGTGAAAGCAACAAATAATAACTTGACTTCCAGATAATTTGGAAAAGTGTAAGATGGTGGATTTTTCTGATGAATCATCTGTTGATCTGCATCCCAATCATCACAAATACTACAGAAGACCTACTGGAACCAGCATAGACCCAATATTCTCACAGAAATCAATCAAGTTTGGTGAAGAAAAAATCATGGTTTGGGGTTACATTCAGTATGGGAGAATGCGAGAGATCTGCAGAGTGGATATCAACATCAGCAGTCCACAAGAGAGGGCAAATTCTTCAGAAGGATAGCACTTAATGTGCTCCAGGATTGGCCAGCCCAGTCACCAGACATGAACATTACTAAACATGTCTGGGATAAGGTGGAGGAGGCATTGAAGATGAATCCAAAGATTCTTGATGAACTCTGTGAGTCCTTGCAAGAATGTTTTCTTTGCCATTCCAGATGACTTTATTAATAAGGTTTTTGAGATGACAAGACTTTTGTCAGGTAGTGTAACTTTAGGACAACTTTGATTAAAAGGTTTTGATCCATTACATATGTTGACTACGATAATTTATCATTGCAAAGCTCACAAGTAGTCTGTTGATGTTGTACATCTACAGCAGGGATGACCAACCCTGTTCCTGGAGAGCCACCTTCATGCAGATTTCAGTTGCAACCAATATCAAACACACCTGCCTGTAATTATCAAAGGCTGTTCAGGTACTAATTAATCGGTTCAGATGTGTTTGATCTGGGTTGGAGCTGAAGTCTGCAGGAAGATAGATTTCCAGGAACAGGGTTGAACATTCCTGATTTACAGTATATACATGGTATAATTTACTACACAAAAGTGCTAGAAAAGTCATTACAAGTGCTTAATGTCTTTGGGAAAGGTGTAAGGACCCTGTTTTAACTTGGTGGCTTTACATATAAGAGGTAAACGGTTTGCTGTACCACTTTATATTAGGTGTCATTCACTAATATGTACGTACACAATATGTACGTACACATTGTGTTGTGTTGTGCAATTAATTGGTTCAGATGTGTTTGGAGCTGAACTCTGCAGGAAGGTAGGTCTCCAGGAACCGGGTTTAGCACTCCTGATATCTTTAGCAATGCTATAGATTCCTACTCCAAAACAGAGACATAATGCAGAAAGGTGTTTCTTGTGTCCAGCAGGACTTCTGTTTGTTTTGTTTTTTTCTTCAAAAGTCCAATTCTAAAAGTGTTTTTCATCTGATTCTTCCAGGTTCCACCAGATTCCTGTGGATCCACCTCAGTCCATATCTCTACACCGTAATCCAAATGGATTTTCACTTTGAGAGGATGAGTAACCTTGACCTACACCCGCTGAGTCTTCCGGTCAGTCGACTGTCTCCGGCCAAGTCCAGCAGCAGTATTGATCAGTATACCCACCACCACCATAGCAAAGGAGACTCTGCCTATAGCTCGTTTTCGGGTGGCTCCACAGTCCCTGATTATCCTTCTCCTTTTCTACTGGATGAACTCCAGTCACAAAGCTTGCACTACAATGATCTGAAGCATGTAAAAGCTAAATATAGCCCCACCGCTCTTGACTCGGATTCCAAGAGTATGGACCAGCTGTACCGTTCAATGGAGATTGTTTCCAAACCTCATTGGAGCAGTAGTGGCTTCCCTAAAATTGAAGATCCACCACATCCCTTACTACCACCACCACCTCCACCACCACCTGCTCGTCTGAACAGTTTTGTAGCAACCAGAAACCTTGAAAACTTAAGGACACGTCAAAGTCCAGAAGGACAGCATGCTGACATTTCTACTTTACAGCAGGCGAGTAGTCCAGAGGTTTATAGTGTCCAGGCTGACACACTTTCACAGCTTAATGATCACCTTGATCATGGGGACAAGATGCTTGATGCACCGAACCATACAGGAATTTTAAACAGATCATCCCTGCAAACCTGTCAACCAGATCCCTTGCAGCGCTCCAGGAATGGCCATTCGGAAACCCAACGGAAACGGTCACATTCAGCTTATTGTGCACCAGTTTCTGAGCATCAAAGCTCTTGCAATATGCCACAAAACATGATCAGTGGGAGCATTCAGCACAAAGGACAGTTTTACTTTGTTACTGGCGTCTTCAAGTCTTCAGAGCCAAGCATCGAGCAAGATGATGGTGCAGATTTGGAAACCTCCACCGAGTGGTTTTATAAGGCTCAGCGGAGAAGGCAGAGCTGTCCGGATGGTCCGAGTGGTAAACTCTTTTTCCAAGAGGAACACAAATTTAGCATTCAAAATGAAGATGTGGAGCATCTTAATGACCAGGCGTTTTTTAGGCCAGAGCAGACTTGTGAAAGTGTAGAGGACCAGAAAGCCATGAGTAGAGAAACTGGCAGGCATCACTCCACTAGCCATCCTATCTTCTACTGTGGTCCTGAGGACAGTTCAGCTGGTGTAATAATGACCCCTGCTCTAATTAAGGAAGACCATCTTAAGATTGAAGAAAGATTGGCAAGAGTTTCGAGGTGGCCTCAATTGGATATTCCAAGTGACAAGATCAGCAAAGAGACGACTCCGCTTTTGTATCACCTCACAGGAGCGAACAGGGCATCCCATGCAGACAAACAGTTCAAAAACAATAATGATACTGGTGTAGAGCTCAAGAATCCAGAATGTGTTAAAGATGAACCGAAAGCCGTCTATGATGGGCAAACCTCTCCCAGCAGTGAAAAGTCTAAAGAAGAGCAACCAAATGAGTTTTTCTACCAATGCGCAACACTAGATGACTCCTACAAAAAATATTACAAGGAGAAACTGAAAGATGTCCAGTCCAAGGTTTTAAGGGAGACCTCATTTAAAAGAAGAGACTTGCAACTTTCTCTTTCCCACAGAGTTAAGCAGTGGACAGACAAAAAACTTTCTGTCGTACCTTCAACCCCTTCAACACTAGATCTACGACCCAACTTGGACATCCACCCCACCCCACAAAAGCCTCAAGATACAGACCAGGAGAACACTGGACAGGAGATTGAAAAGGAAACCGTAAAACCCAAGAAGCCACAGAATATTGCTCAACCGCAGGTACCTCGGGTGGGGAGCAGGAAACGTTTGACAGCAGATCAGAAAAAACTCTCCCACTCTGAGCCAGAGAAGCTACACCAGCTTGCAGATGGACCATCTCATACGACCTGCCGCTCTCTTGGAAATGAATCTGAAGGTCTTCTCTCAGAGGCTGATCACGGTTTGGTGGCTTCACGGCGGAAGATGTTTGAAACACGAGGCCGTGCTATGTCTGCTTCTAACTTTTCAAAATCATCTCTGAAGCACCTTCAGCATAAAGCTTTAGTAGCATACATGGAGCGTAAAACTGGTCAAAAGGTTGCTGAACCTCAGCATCCAATTCCACAAGAGCCCACCCACTGGGATTACACTGTAGAGGGACAGTCTGAAAGGATTGCCCAACACAATTCTGGCTCCAAGAAGCTCCAAAGACCTCTTTCTGCAGGTCAGATTCTTGACTCTGTGTCCAGTTCTGTTAAATACAGCCAGTTCATCACTGATCAGTCCAGCGTTCATTCAAGGCAATCCAGCTGGAGAGAGAAGACTCCTGCCACAGGGAAATCTGCCTCCGTGGAGAGTCTCTTGGACCAGCCTGAACAACCAAAGCTCCCACGGTCTCGCAGCACCTCGATTCCCCATGCTTTCCAGGTATCTTTATAAAAGTGCTTTAATTTAGTTAAGTTCCTAGCATTCCTTGCTAAGCTTCATTGTTTGGTATACAGTTGTAGTAAAATTAGTAGCCCTATTTAAAAAATTATGTTTAACAGAGCAAGGAACTTCTTTCCACAGTATCTCCTATACAATTTTTTTTCTTCTGAAGAAAGTTTTGTTAGTTTGTTTTTTCAGCTAGAATACAAACATTTTAAAGACATTTTAAGGTCAATATTATTAGCCCCCATTAGCATCTAGTATTTTGTTTGTCATATTGCTGTATTTTGCATCTATCCGCAGATTCAAAAGCATCCGGATGAGCTCTCGACCATAAATAACAAGGCTATGTCAAGGTAACTGATTTTTAATTTTTTTTAATAGATAGCAAAACTAGGATACTGCCTACTTAGAGGGCCGGTGTCCTACAGATTTTAAACTTTTAACTTTTCTCAGCACACCTGCCAGGATGTTTCCAGAACACGGTTGCCCAATTTTGTTTCTGGAGATCGACCTTTCTTCACAGATCATCTCCACCCTTGATCAAACACAACTAAACCAACTAAGTAGGATCTGAGAAACACTTGGTAATTAAAGACAGAAGTGTTTGATCAAGGTTGCAGCTAAACTCTGCAGGAAGGTAGATCTTCAGGAATGGGATTGGGCACCCCTGTTCCTGAAAGCCTAAAAGCTTGATTAGCTAGTCCCGATTTGTCTGATTGGAGTTGGCACTGAACTTTGCAGGACACCAGCTCTCCAGTACAAAGTGTGCACACCCTTTGTTTAGTAGAATAGACTGGCTGTCCTCTGTTCTTTATAAGTAAAATAATCTGCAATGGATTAAGCAATATAAAGTTATGTCAAAACGGAAAGCAGGATTATTTTGCTGACTCCATTGGCAGATTATTTAACTTGTTTTAATGAAAAACTCACTTATTTCTGGCATATTATTTCCTAAAACAACACTATTTTTTTGCTTGTCCAGAAAATGCTTCTTAATTTAAGAATTTACTTGGTGGTTCATTCTGCTGTGGAGATCCCTTAGTAAATCAGGTACTAAGTCAAAGGAAGATTAATGAATGAATGATTTAAGAATTTTTAGATATTTGGACTAGAAACGAGACAAAAAAAATCTATGTAAGAAAGGCATTTTCTGCAATGTAAAGTTCTGAAACCTATAGGATGTTTTAGGGCTGGTTTATACTTCTACGTCAAGCGATCACCGTGACCCATGGTGCATGCCTTGCGTTGTGTTTGTGTTGCTCTGCAATAACACTTTCGAAATGCTAGCTGGCAGTAAGTTATGTTATGTTCCTCTGTATCGAGTTTCTTTGCGGGTGTTTTGTGGTCTTCTCAATGCTACCTTAATGTACAAGTCATTCAGTCTGAAACCTGCGCACAAGCAACAACTTTAATCATAATGCTGCGTTTTCACACCAGAAAAAGCATCTAACGCAAGTGGTTTACATGTTAAGTCAATGCAAAGACACAAATAGATGTCCTCTGGTGTGATACATGGGAATGGTGCGGTGCGAATGCGGCCAATTGTGCGAATAGTGCAGCACGAATTGGGCGTTTTGCGCATTTAATGCGCAAATCGGTCAAGTTCGAAAATCTGAACTTCAGCGGACATTTGCACCACGTTAATCAATCAGGAGCTTGTTCTTGTGGGTGCGTGATTATGACGTAGCGCCTGTTGTTGATGTCCCTGGGGAAAATCCTCCTGCCTACACCGACCACAGTTCATCAAACTGGGCTTGGCTCAGTCAGATCACCGCAGAAAGCCTCTATCATCCAGGTACAGTTTCTGGAAGAGTTTATGAGCTCACAGAGCTGGGTGCACCTCTGAAAGGATCTAGAGCACACAGAACAGGCTCCAAATGAATCGACGCTGTTTTTCAGCCTTCATGAAGCACATAAACACAGCTATTCCCTCAATAAAATCCATGTTAGCCATTTAGCAACGAAGCTAAAGTCACCGGGCAGACAGAGGCCCTGCCCATCACGCGAATCTAAATCTGTTCTGTTTCGATGTGAACACAACATAAGGTAAACACAAAACATCTGAAACTCCTTCACAGGAATTGGTTCTCAGCACTGCGCAAACCGATACCAAGCCAACCAATCGCAGAGCTTGCAGTATGAATCGTTTCGACTTCGTCACATTTTTTGAGAGGTGCGCATTAGCGTCGACATCAGCCACAGCGAGGGCTATGCAACCACACGAAGGCTGCGCCAGACCATTCACATGCGCTCGACGCAGAAGTATAAATTAGCCTTCATAGTACAGTGGCCTTCAATAAGGCATGACTAATTATTTTATTAAACTCCTTTTATTAAACTAAAAACATGTATTATTTTTCAGCGCTCAAAGAAAAGTAGAAGGTAAAGCCATCCGTCAGAGTTATCCTGCATCAGTTCCTGATGAGCGACGCTTTCAAGTCAGAGCTTCAAGAGGAAAGTCTATGGAGGAACTCGGCGCGTCTGCCGTCACGAAACCGGCAGCTCTCAGCAAAAGCTCAGAGCAACTCGACCAGCATTTGGGACACAAGAGAACTGTTTCATTCCTTGCTGAAGGAAGACGTGCACACAGGAACATTCACAGCAGTACAGAAAACACTCAGGCAGGTCCTGAGAATCCATGGTTAACCAGTACTATAAAGCACGAATCCTCCAATGATGATGAACGCCATGTGGTTTCACACACTACACATAAACATGTGGATTACAGCATTGTGTCTGTGCCCAGTCCCTTATCTGAACACGGTGGAATAAAGCTGGATATCAGGTAAATATTAATCATTTGATCTACACAGTTGAAGTCAAAATTATTCGCCCTCCTGTTAAACTTTTCCCAAATTTTCTTTAACAGAGCAAGGAATTTTTCACAGTATTTCCTATAATATTTTTTCTTCTGGAGAAAGTCTTATTTGTTTTATTTCGGCTAGAATAAAAGCAGTTTAAAAAAATTTTAGAGCCATTTTAAGGTCTATTCATAGATATATACATTAGATGTCGCCTACCCTGTTGTTATCTATTTGAAGGAATGTCAATAGAGCCGCCATTTTGGAACAGGGTAGCTCTCCTTTGAAATGAATGCGGGACCAAGGTACAGTTGAGGACTGTGGCCATCCAAAGCCAGAGATAAACACATATATCTATGATCGGGAGTTTTCCTGGATGTTAGTATGCCATTTTTTTTGGTCCCACTTTATATTAAGTGTCCTTAACTACTATGTACTTACATCAAAAGAAATAAATACAATGTACTTACTGTGTTTATAATGTATTTGAGAACACTTATGGTGCTTTTGAGTTGGGATAGAGGTTGGGTTATGGACATGTTTGGTGGTGTGGGTAGGTTTAAGAGTGGGTTAAGGTGTAAGGGATGGTCAGCAGTGTATTTACAAATGTAATTACAGCTGTAATTACATACATGTATTTAATCAAGCATAAGTACACAGTAAATACATGTATTTACACAATAAGTACATTGTAATAAACTATTAATTCCAATGTAAGTACATATTAGTTAAGGCCACTTAATATAAAGTGGGACTTTTTTTTTTAATTAAGAAAATTATTATTTTACATAAATTTTCTACATTGATAGATAAGTGATCGCACTGGCATTCCTGACAAAAAGCTTGTGTTTGTGTGTACAGAAATGTACTATTCACCCTCCCTGTAAAATTTGATCTAATCTGTGCCCTGAAACACAGCTCCTCTCCTGCTTTCACTTCTCATACTGACGGAGGGAGTGATTCGTTTGTGAATGAACCTCCGTTATGAACGACTCCTTCACTAGCCGACAATAATACAAGTTTCTGGCAGCGCAGCATCTCGTTGTCATATTTCTTTTGCATTGTTTGCTGATTTTATTCAACAAAACTAGCATAAGCCGAGTGTTTAGTGCGAGTTGGAGCTGCTTTGCCGTATGGTGAATGCAGTAAGTGACTGTATTATCATCAATAACGTTACCTGATTAGCACAAAAGTTCAAAACATACAAAAATGTTAAAAAAACGTAATCTTACCTATGAAATGTTCTGCCTTTGTGCTTTGTTTTCTTTGTTTGCTCGTTACTACACGCTTAGACAGCGCTAAAGTCCTGCATCTTCACGTAATAACACTGTCTTGACTAGTGTGGTTGAATGACATTTGTGCTGGGAGCACTGTACCAATGTGGCGGCGTTATTGACGCATGCTCAGGGTCCCTATGCGATATCTAGTGTATATATCTATGAGGTCTATTTAGGTCGATTGTCTACAGAACAAACCACTGTTTAACAGTTAACTGTTTATTGTGAAATGTACTATTCTAGAATCTCCGTGTCCAACCGCATTGTACTGCGCCTTTAAGGCGAGTCCTCCCCGCCTACTTTTTCTACGTGTCTTTCTACGTGCCTTAATCTTCTAAAAGGGCATCCGCTGTGTAAAAACGTGCTGGATAAGTTGGTGGTTCATTCCGTTGTGGCGACCCCAGATTAATAAAGGGACTAAGTTCTAGGGCTGCTCGATTTTGGGAAAAATCATAATTACGATTATTTTGGTCATAATTGTAATCACGATTATTTAAAACGATTACTGTTGAAGTCAAAATTATTAGCGCTCCTGAGAATCAGAGATCAGATCAGAGAAATAAATATTTCCCAAATGATGTTTAACAGAGCAAGGAATTTTAACAGTATTTCCTATAATATTTTTTTCTTCTAGGCTTATTTGTTTTATTTTTAGCTAGCATAATAGAAGATTTAAATATTTTGAAACCCATTTTAAGGTCAATATTATTAGCCCCCTTGAGCAATATATTTTTTGATTGTCTGCAGAAGAAACTACTGTTATACAATGACCTGCTTAATTACCCTTATTAAGCCTTTGAATTGCAATTTAATCTGAATGCTTGTATTTAGAAAAATATCTAGAAAACTTTAATCTGCTGTCATCATAGCAGAGATAAAAGAAATCAGTAATCAGAAATGATATATAGAAACTATTATGTTCAGAAATAAGTTTAAAAAATTATTTCCATTAAACAGAAATTGGGCAGGAAAAGGGTTGCTAATATTCAGGAGGGCTAATAATTCTGGCTTTAATGTATACATACAGTTATTTTCCTCCTTGCAAAGGAAAAAATAAATAAATACAATAGAATAAAAATATGAAACAAACTGTGCTTTAAGGATTTTCACTGTAAGAATAAAACTTTAGCGACAAAAATCCTTCAGTCAAGAGCAGAGGATTTTCTCGTTTTGTTTGATTAATGATTAAAACAACATCGCGCGCTGTCTCCTTAAAGGTTCAGGACACCCTGGATAACTTTTTTTTTTAATATTAACAGATGTGTGTGTATGTTGAGCATCAGTTCAGACAATGTTAGCACATGTCAGCTTTAATTGTGGGGAAAACTGGATAATTTTGAGCTTTTGTCAGCTAATTTCAGCTTCCGGGTTTAAAATGATTTTTGGGGCGGGATCAAAATCGGCGACGTATCGCAGAACTGCAAGTGCAATGATGACGCGTCTGTTTCTCATTATTATTCATAGCAGAGTTTTCTTATCCTATGAGAAGAGCCGGCTGCTTAATTATTCATGAGACCTGCCAGACCTGCCAGTGTCAAGCCCGAGCTGTGTCACGGACCCACGGCACACAGTATTGAGCCGTTCATGAAGGCTCATATGCGTTTGTTTCCATCATCCACGGGGTTTGTTGCATGTTTTCCCCCGCGATCTTGTCAGGGCCGATCATACAGCAAAGCTATGTGTGTGCTGCTAGCATTTTTGTCGGGAGAGCAGCACGAGAATTAGAGAATGGCGGACGCCGTCTTTTATCAGGAGTTTGTTCACATTCAGACACATCACTGTGCTGCTGTGTTTGCCTAAATCCTCCAGATTACAAGCAGGGCTAATGGTTAAAATAGACGGGTCAGGAGACCTGCTGCACTGAGTCTGCTGGATACGGGGATTGAGGGAGAATCCTCATTTATAGTGTTTACATGAACACACTTATCTTTATAATGATATAAATTGTGGTTATGTGTATATGAAATTACGAATAACAAATGTAGCAGGGCATTAAATCACTGTTTATTTCTTTGCATTTTAACTTTGTAAACTATAAACTCATGCGTCTCCTCACGGTTTGTCTCATTTTGTGAGCTAGCTTCGTTCGCTCACGTTCTCCCCTGCTGGCCACGCCCACTCCTGCCCGATGCTCGCGGAGCTCCGCCCATTAATCATGCATCTTTTGAAAAAATTCTGAAGTAGACTTTAACCGAAAGTGGGGGGTGTCATGACCCTTTAATGGTTCACGTGTCTTTTGATCCTCAACTCGTAACTCGTTTGTTTATTACACAAATGAGGGTTATTATGAATAATCACTAAACACTGCGTTTTGACATCTATTTGACCATTAAAGCGCTCGCATTAAGATGACTGTAGATGTCTGTGCCTCGTCCATTTAGCGAGGTGCGTGCGGTCAGCAGAGGTGCGCAATGCGGCGCCAGGCGCAAGTATAATTCAGCTTCAGTGTGCGAATGAGACCGAATGCTGACCGGCCGCATGCTTCTGGCTTTGTGCGCGTGCCGCACACACATAAGCATGCGGTCTTTCGCGCTTTTAGGAGCAACAGCTGGAAAGGGGGCGGTATATGATGCAATAATCGTTTATCTCGATTAATGCTTTTTCATAATCGTTTAAAGCCGAAATCGGATTTTCGATTAATTGCACAGCCCTAGTAAGTTCTAACGAATGAATGAATAAAATCTGTATCATTTGGTTTTGTATCCAAATTAGCACATTGTTCACACTGCAAGTATTTTGATATGTTTCAGAAAAGAGCAAGATTGTTTTCCTCAAGATGAGAATGAAGCCTCTGTCGTGTCCAATGAAGAAGTTTCTCTCAGTCATGGAGTCACTACAGATCCCAGTCTGTGGATTTCTGCCATCGAGATAAGTGAGGAAGAGCCAAAAATCTGTCCGTCTACTGAAACTACAACATTTGGTGAACCTCAAAATCCACCGCCTGCCTCATCTGCTGAAAACCACGAACCCACATCCATCCCAAATCATGCTGAAATCCAGGAGGTTTTGGAGTCTGTAGGGGAACCTGAGGAAGACGATGTGAAAAGTGATGAAGATGACCCTAAAAACAACACTGAAGGGAATTTGCTGGAGTGGGAGGTTCTGGTTCAGGAAGTGGTCTCAGCCGACCAATCGTTAGCTCGCACGCTTTTTCCGGTAGCCAATAGGAAGACGGCACTGATGCTGATGGAGCAGCTGCTGTCTGAGGATACTCTTCTGATGGAGGAGCACTACAAGAACAAACACCAGCAGATGCTTCACAACCCAGAGAAGGACACACACTGGTAAGAGCTGTGCGGGACATTTGACTATGAACCCTTTTCACATTTGCTGCCATTTCTTAGTAGCAAAAGTCATCAAAGTTGGTAAGCTTAGAGCGCAGGCAATGGGAGAAGACAACAAATCCTTTTTACACTCCTATTTGCTGAAATAATAAAAGAAAAACCCCATGATAGTGTTATCAAGACTTTCAGAAAAAGAAAAACGATAGTGTAAGACTGATAATGGCAGCCAGATGAGAGAATAAGGTCAGATTTACTGTCCCGCTTCCATACACTCTGCATTAGAAACACCTTAAACGAGCAGTAATTGATGCAATTTTTTGTAATTTGATGCAAATAATGATATATTGCATACATGAATACATATAAACTCACTGGCCACTTTATTAGGTACGCCTTACTAGTACCGGGTTGGACACTTTTGCCTTCAGAACTGCCTTAATCCTTCATGGCATAGATTCACCAAGGTACTGGTAATATTCCTCAGAGATTTTGACATGATTATTGACATGATAGCATCACGCAGTTGCTGCAGATTTTTCAGCTGCACATAGATGATGCCAATCTCCTGTTCCACCACATCCCAAAGGTGCTCTATTGGATTGAGATCTGGAGACTGTGGAGGCCATTTGAGTAAAGTGAACAGTGAAGACTGCCGTTGACACGATGCTCAATTTGTACTAATGGGCCCAAAGTGTGCCAAGAAAATCTCCCCCACACCATTACACCACCACCACCAGCCTGATCCGTTGATACAAGGCAGGATGGATCTATGCTTTCATGTTGTTAAGGCCAAATTCTGACCCGACCATCCGAATGCGTTAGCAGAAATGGAGACTCATCAGAGCAGGCAACGTTTCTCCAATCTTCTATTGTCCAGTTTTGGTGAGTCTGTGTGAATTGTAGCCTCAGTTTCCTGTTCTTAGCTGACAGGAGCGGCACCCGGTGTGGTCTTCTGCTGCTGTAGCCCATCCGCTGAAGGTTGTGTGTTCAGAGATGCTCTTCTGCAGACCTCGGTTGTAAAGAGTGGTTGCTCGCTTTAAACTGCAGCAGATCGTCTTGACCATGTCTCTACATGCCTAAATGCATTGAGTTGCTGCCATGTGATTGGCTGATTAGAAATTTACGTTAACAAGCAGTTTGACTGGTGTACCTAATAAAGTGACCGGTGAGCGTAAATGTTCATATGTTTGAACATTAAGATGCTGATGACCATATCATGAAAGTCTTGTGAAAAGGGTCCATACACACATCTTATTAATTTAACTGTATGTTTTACTTAGCATTTTTTGTTTGTTTTTAAAGCTCTGAGATGCCTGTTGGTGATGATCTACCAAAACATCTGTCATCTGTGAACAAAAACTCTGCTATCAAATACCAAAAAGATGTACAGTGCAACACTGAAATGGATATCGTCAGTAAAAAGGTACTGTTAACACTGGGAATGATAACAATGAATAAATAAATAAATGAAATAAATAAATATGTAATTAAAATTAGACTAACTAAATGTAAATAAATAACAAATGCAAAACATATTTAAAAATTTCAATAAATTAAATTAAAACTAAAATAGAAAATAAAATGAAAATTAAATTAATTTAAAACAAAAATATATATAATTAAACTAAATACAATTACAATAAAAATACATTTAAAAGCAAATAAATAAATAAATCTAAATGGTTTATTAAATTTAATCAAACCAGCTAAATAAGTAGATAAAATGTATGAACAAATACCCCAAAAAATGTAAATAAAAATACAATACAACTAAAACATACAAAAATTAACAATTAATTAAAATAACTAAATAAATAAATATAATTACAATAAAAATGCATTTAAAAACCAACAAATAAATAAAAATTTAAAAAGATATAAAAGATAAATAAATTAAATAAATATCTCATAAATTTATACTAAATAAAATAAATAAACTAAATAAATGAGTAAATTTTTAAAATACAAAACACATAAAAATAACATTTATTTAAAACTAAAATTGAAAATAAAACAAAAATACAAAAAATAAAATAAATAAATCATTTATTTATTAAGTGCAATCAAATTAGCTAAATGAGTAAATTAAAATTGTAAAATAAAAACACATAAATGAAAAATACAATTACAAACAAACAATAAAATAAAACAATAAAAATAAAATAAAATAATTGTCACCCCGGTTATGATGAGGCCACTAATAGGGGGCCGAAAAATGACTCAACTGTATTATAATTTTTTTTTTTTTTTTTTTTAAATGACAAATATATTATTAAAATCACTTTAGCAAGCCTAATTTCATTGTATGAATATAATGAAAACCATCCCTTCATGCATTTCTTTTAAATCTTGATATAATAGTCTTCATATAATTTAGTTTACTTAAATAATTTACAACTTTTTATGCTTCTGTGGGGTTCAGTCCCATATACAGGAGAATCTGTGTTTCGCCAGGTTGTGAAAATAATCATATTCAGTTATTGAAATCCAAATGTGGTCCCACAGCAGAGATGTTTTGCACACAACTAATATTTTGTGTTTTTTCAAAAGTCATGGCATGACATCAAGATTTGCAGAAGATTTTGGCAACAGACCCGCCGCTCTCTGTGTACACATAAAATAATGATGCTTTCTAAAGTTCTTTAAAAGACGGATTACCGTGTGTGTATTGAATAAAGGATAACAGCGAAGACTTCGCTTCCCATGACCTTGACACTAAGATGACTTTCTGCAGAAAATATGGATGAAACTAGTTTAAATCAAGTTGATTTGACAGAGGAATTAATTTACTGTATGTTATAGGCACACACAAAAATGTCAGCATAGCAGTGTTGCATAGGTTTTTGTCAATTTGTTGCTGAAACTTTTTGTTTTCATCCTTTACAATCTCAATTGGTGTATGTTTGCATGTTTTTGTGACCGTGTTTGTGTACACGTGATTCTGTGTGCAAATATTGCATGTTTTTGTCTGTGTGCATGTTTTTGTTTCTGTGTGTGTTTTTGCATGTTTTTGTTTCTGTGTGCATGTTTTTGCATGTTTTTGTCTGTGCGTGTTTTTGTTTGTGTGTGTGTTTTTGCATGTTTTTGTTTCTGTGTGCGTGTCTTTGCATGTTTTTGTTACTGTGTGCGTGTTTTTGCATGTTTTTGTTTCTGTGCGTGTTTTTGCATGTTTTTGTTTCTGTGTGTGTTTTTGCATGTTTTTGTTTCTGTGTGCGTGTCTTTGCATGTTTTTGTTTCTGTGTGCGTGTCTTTGTATGTTTTTGTGTGTGTTTTTGCATTTTTTTGTTTCTGTGTGCGTGTCTTTGCATGTTTTTGTTACTGTGTGCGTGTTTTTGCATGTTTTTGTTACTGTGTGCGTGTCTTTGCATGTTTTTGTTACTGTGTGCGTGTTTTTGCATGTTTTTGTTTCTGTGTGCGTGTCTTTGTATGTTTTGGTTTCTGTGTGCGTGTCTTTGCATGTTTTTGTTTCTGTGTGCGTGTCTTTGTATGTTTTTGTTTCTGTGTGCGTGTCTTTGCATGTTTTTGTGTGTGTTTTTGCATGTTTTTGTTTCTCTGTGTGTTTTTGCATGTTTTTGTCTGTGTGCATGTTTGTGGGCACGTGTTTGTGAGTGTGTGTTTGTGTGTTTTTGTGTGTGTGTGTTTCTGTATGTATGTGTGTGTGTGTGTGTTTCTGTGTGCACGTTTTTGTCTGTGTGCATGTTTTTGTCTGTATGCGTGTTTGTGGACGCTTGTTTGTGTGTGTTTTTGTGTGTGTGCATGTTTTTGAGTGCATGTTTTTGTTTGTGTGTTCGTTTGTGTGTGTGTGTGTGTGTGTGTGTGTGTGTGTGTGTGTGTGTGTGTGTGTGTGTGTGTGTGTGTGTGTGTGTGTGTGTGTGTGTGTGTGTGTGTGTGTGTGTGCACGTGTTTGTGTGCTAATGTGAAAATGAAATTTATCTTTGTGCGTCTTTGTGTGTGCAAGTGTTTTTGGTTGCGCGTATTTGCACTTTTTGTGTGTCCACAAGTTTTTGTGTGCGTGCGTGTGCATGTTTGTGTGCGTATGTGTTTGTGTGTGCACGTTTCTGTCTGTGCATGTTTGTGCGTTTTTGTGTGTGTGTGTGTGCATGTTTGTGTGTGCATGTGTTTGAGTAAATTACCAATTGTTTATTTTTTAGGCTTGAACTAACCTTTAAATTAATACGGTGGAGCAGAATAATAATAATGATGAGAGTAAGTTGAATCTAATCTAAATCAGCATGTGCTCCGTGTTTGTCGTCATGCACAGAAGCAGCTCATGGCGCATATAAAGCATCAGTTGAAGAGTCTGGAGGACGTGCGCTCTGCCGTCCAGGCTGAGGAGAAGGCGAACGGTGCACGCGGAGAGGCCGTACAGGCGCTGGTAGGACTCTGCTGCATCCCAGCCGAGCTGGAGCGATACACACAGTTCATAGGAGACCTGGAGCGAGTGCTGAGTCTGCTGCTGTGCCTGTCCGCCCGGCTGGCCCGCGTACAAAATGCCCTCAGCACTGTGGACGACAGCATTGACGCCGAGGAGAAAGTAAGTAAATAAGCACCAGTCACAGGTTTTAAAATCATTCATTCATTCATTTTCTTGCAGCTAAGTGTCTTATTTATCAGCGGTTGCCACTATTCCAGCATGTTTTACACAACGTATGCCCTTCCATCTCCAACCCAGTACTAGGAAACACCCATACACACTCATTAACACACACTCATACACTGTGTGGTTTATTTAAAAACTAATTTCAAGAGGATCACGTGCTTATGACTGAACACAGCTGGTATCGCATCAGCTCCGCATATTTGCACCAATTAGATGAACACTGACACACTATAAACTACCAGAGCTTTCTACTCCAGTCATCTTCGTCTCCCCTTCCACCCCTACTCCTCCCCTTCTCTGATAGGGCAGCACGGTGGCTCAGTGGGTAGCACTGTTGCCTCACTGCAAGAGCTGGTTCGGCCCTCTTCGAGCCGGTTGGAGTTTCTGTGCAGAGTTTGCATGTTCTCCCTGTGTTCCACTCGGGCTTTCCACGGGTTCTCCAGTTTCCTCCCATCGTCCAAAGACATACACCATAAGTAAATTGACCGCTTCAAAATAACATCCTGAGGCAACTCTTAGGGTGCTTTCACACCTAGACTTTTGTATCTAAACCGGTCTCGTTTGCCCAGTTAGCGCGGTTCATTTGGCATAAGTGAATCCACTAATCGCGCTCAGATCCGCGCCAAAACAATCGCTCTGAGTTCGGTTGAATGAGGTGGTCTCGGCTCAATTGAAACAAACTGTGGAGTGGATCAATTGTAGTGAGAAAGCGATATGATCCGAGCCCGGTTGTATCACAGTGTTTTATGGATATGTAATAGGCATACGGCTATATAAATAGAGAATTATGAGTAGGGCGGGAGGACATTCCAGACATCCCAAGTCTCCCGGAAGTTTGGTTAGTCTCCTGCAAATGCACAGAGACTCCCGGGTGCCCGCAAACGAGTGATAATCTCCCGGAAATCGCACGTTTCCCTCCCGGTTCCTCAAATACATCATGCACCCTTCTCACCCCTCCCCACCGCATCCATGCATGACGACTGAGCGGGACACTGCAAAATAACCGTGAAACTGACCAATGGCAGGAGAGTTTACTCGCACATGACTTGTTTTAGCTCTTTTGGTCCGATTAGAATCTTTGCCGTCTGAAAGCGAACTGCACCAAGAGCAAAGAGCAACAATGGAACAATTTTAAGCCCTTTTTGAACAACTGAATCGATTCACAGGTGTGAAAGCACCCTTAGTCAGATATATCTCAGCAGTTTACAAGTAGGGGAGTTCTCGAGACCTACCTCAGCTAAAACTCTCCTTTCACCCGGGGAGGGAGCCCCGGGGTCAAGGATATTCTGAGCTCAGGGCTCTCTCCCGGGACAGCATGCCAAACAGGCTTTATAATTAATCATCAGCTTAGTGTGAACTCTTGAAGGCCAATTTAGTCCATCCAAGTCACCTATAGTGCATGTGTTTGGACTGTGGGGGAAATCAAAGCAGTATAGTATGTCTGGGCGTTAAAGATGAATCCAAAGATTTTCAAGAACGCTTCATTCCAGATGACTTTATTAATCAGTGATTTGAGTCATGTCAGAGATGTATGGATGCAGTCCTCCAAGCTCATGATGGAGTCAGACACAATATTCATTCTGTCTCCACTGCAGCAGGACTTTATATTCTATACTGGACATTATTTCTGTTCAGTGATGAGACTTTTGTCTAAGCAGAGTCAGATCTTACTGTCCTAATGAAATCAGTCAAAATCAAGGCATGATCATAATTTATTTTGGTAAATAAGTGTCATCTAGTAGCCTTTACCTTTCATATAGGCCACTTCTGATACCAAATGATCAACTAGAAGTCAAGTTATTATTCTTTGTTCCTAAAACTTGGATAGGCGACAAGACTTTTATCAGGTGGTGTATAACTGCAGGTTAACTATGTTGTTTTGGTCTGTTTTGTTTTTTCTTCATCCATATGAAGGAGATTAAAGCTTTCATTTAGTCTTTCACATGATGAACGAAAAACTGAAAACTTCCCATCACTAATGAGCATCACGTGTGAACGAGGTGTTTAAATGAGGTGTGTCTTTGTGTAGACAAATAGGAGGGGCACTAAAACACTGCAGGAAAACACACACACACACACACACACACACACACACACACACACACACACACACACTTACCGTGCAGAGCTTTTCATTTCCTGGAGACTGACAGTGAATGCTGTGTTTGTTGTGTTGATGGTGTGAACTAGGGATGCCACAGTTCTCAATATAATATTGAACAGTAGGGTATGAGCTCCACGGGTCAATACGCGCTTGTGAATTGCGGTTTTCTCGGTTTTGCATTTAAATAATTTGTGCGTGTTATATCTCCCCGAATTGACTGTGTGTGCCTCTAAATCCATAAGCTGAGATGAGGAAAATCCTCCCCGTGAGTAAGTATGCTCTAAAATTAGGAGGTGCTTAACCATCATTCAACACTTTAACATGGCGAGCGGCCGTGAAGTGAGGCTGAGGCAACAGTACAAGGAAGCGCCGGCGAAGTGAGGCAACAGCACGAAAAAGCGCCGGCGTCTTTCTAATCTGCAGTGTGAGAACATTTCGGTTTTGCCGGTAAGCATAATGCCAATAAAAGAAAAAATGGTGAACAAAAAATAACTGTGCAAGCATTGCTTTACACGTATAACCATGACTGCACATCTGCAGCATCATCACCCAGCAATATCACTGTCTGAAGCAGGAGAGCAGAGAAGGTAATAAAGCCCTCCAAATAGCAACAATCCCTCGCTAAATCTGTCAAGCAAACAAACCAAACTGGTTCAGAGAGACACATAAAATAACAAAGGCAGTGCGGGTGATTATTGCTGAAGATTTGCAGCCGTTTTCGGTGATTGTAGATGTGGGCTTCTGTCATCTTATAAAAGCACTCGATCTGCGTTACAGACTACAGTCTCGCATTTTTCAGCACCGAGATAATGAAGATGGTTTGTTTATGTTTACTGAAGTACAAATATGTTTATTTGAAATTGCCAATTTATCTTTATTAACTCCACATGTGTGCTTATTTTCAAAGTGTAGGATTTTATGTGTTCCCCAGTTTGTACATGGGCTACCAGCAGCTGTGAGATTTCAGTGTTCATATTTTTTATACAATACACTAGGAACTACTGTAGTTTTCTTGGCTTTTAAGTAAAACAAAATGAGTATTGCAATAAATAGTTTTTATTTTTTTCTCCTTTACTTCTTACTGCTTTTATTGCTTGTAGAATAAAAAAAACACACGTGTCAAGCCATGAGAACCGAACCGAAAGCCATGTTAAAAAACCGAGTTATGTATTGAACCGTGGGCTAACTGTATTGTGTAGTGTGAACTCTTCCTGACCGGTTCAGTTTCCGTGAGTTCTGTGATTTTGCTGCTCTCTTGTGGCAGATATTTGAACAACAGTAACAAATGTCCATGAACCCTAACACCAGTCAAGAGGGTCGTTTTTTTTATTTAAAGATTTATATGTTTTCTAAGTTTCTATTGATGTATGGTTTGGTAGGATTGTACAATATTTGGCCGAAATTCAATTATCTTAAAATCTGAATTCTGAGGGTTCAAAACATACCAAATATTGAATGACAAAGTTGGCTAAGTGAAGCACTTAGCAGTGCATATTACTAATAAAAAGGAAAGTTTTTATATATTTGTGCTGGGATAGTTACACAATGTCTTCATGGAACATGCTCTTAATATTCTTATGATTTGTGAAAGTGAATGCATACTTTTGACACATACAGTGTATATTAGGTTATTCCTACAGATATACATGTGCTAACTTAACTTAAGACTTGTTTTGTGCTAAAGGGTCGCTGTTGAGTCCCGGCTGGGCCAGTTGGCATTTCTGTGTGGAGTTTGCATGTTCTCCCCGTGTTGGTGTGGGTTTCCTGCAGGTGCTCCGGTTTCCCCCACAGTCCAAACAGATGCGCTATAGGCGAATTGAATAAAGTAAATTGGCTGTAGTGTATGAGAGTGTGAGAATGTACAGGTGTTTTCCAGTAATGGGTTGTGGCTGGAAGGGCTTCCGCTGCATAAAACATATGTTGGAATAGTTGGTGGTTCATTCTGCTGTGGCGACCCGTGAAATTGAGACTAAGCTGAAGGAAAATGAATGAATGAATGAATGTTCTTGTCAGTTGATGCTATTGATTTGTTGATAGCACAATTATTATTTACATTAGTATATACTCCAGACAAGTGGGGAAAATAAATAATATGTACTAGAATTATTTCCAAGGCGACACAGTGGCCCAGTAGGTAGTGCTGTCGCCTCACACCTAGAAGGCCGCTGGTTTGAGCCTCTGCTGGGTCAGTTGGCATTTCTGTGTGGAGTTTGCATGTTCTCCCTACGTTCACGTGGGTTTCCTCCGGGTGCTCCGGTTTCCTCCCACAGTCCAAAGGCATTCAGTACAGGTGAATTGGGTAGGCTAAATTATCCGTAGTGTATGAGTGTGAATGAGTGAGTGTGGATGTTTCCCAGTGATGGGTTCCAGCTGGGAGGGCATCCAGTGGATAAAAACGTGCTGGATAAGTTGGCGGTTCATTCCGCTGTGGCGACCCCGGATTAATAAAGGGACTAAGCTCACAAGAAAATGAATGAATAAATAAATAATTATTTCCAGTTATTTCTAAGGCTAGAATAATATAACATCTGGAATAAATTACATCTTAAAATATATTATAATAAACAAAAGATGTTTAAAAGGTCGAATTTCACAATATTTAGTACTTTAAAAAGATTCGCCAAAATTTTGTCAACCCTTAAATTGAATAATAGCATAGCTTATGGTAAAATCTAATTAATTACATAATTATTATCTTATTAATTATCATATTCCTTTTATCTTTTTAAAATATTTCCCAGATGATGTTTAACAGAGCAAGGAAATTTTCACAGTATTTGCTATAATATTGTTTCTTCTGGAGAAAGTCTTATTTGTTTTATTTTGGCTAGAAGAAAAGCAGTTTTTAATTTTTTAAACACCATTTTAGAGACAAAATTATTAGCCCCTGTTTTTGATAGTCTACAGAACAAACCATCATTACACAGAACCCTGCCTAGTTAACCTAATTAACCTAGTTTAGCCTGTATTATGTCTATTTCATCGCCGTCTGTTTTTAAGTCTAGGTTGAAATCTTACCTTTTTGATTTGGCATTTTATTAGTGAGAATTATTTGTTTTTACCTATATTAACTATTTGTGATAATTGTTTGTTTTAGCTATAATTTTATACTTGTTCTTTGTGATTTATTGTTCAGCACATTGGTCAACCTTTGGTTGTGTTTAATAGTGCTATATAAATAAAATTGACATTGACATTGACTTTAAATGTCACTTTAAGCTGTATAGAAGTGTCTTGAAAAATATCAAGTCAAATATTATGTGCTGTCAAAATGACAAAGATAAAATAAATCAGTTATTAGAGATGAGTTATTAAAACTATTATGTTTAGAAATGTGTTTTAAAAATCTGCTCTTTGTTAAACAGAAATTGAGGAAAAAAATAAACAGGGGGTGAATAATTTAGGGGGGCTAATAATTCTGACTTCAACTATACATACATACATGCATGCATACATACATACATACATATATATTTATTTATTTTTACATACATATAATATTTATTTTTAGCATCCAACATTACAGTTGTAATAAATTATTCATAGTTACAAATCAGTATCAATGTTTGTTTGTTTTTTTATTATTCTTTATTTCCAGCTGATGAACAATAAAAGCACTGACAGATCAAAATCTGAATAGTCATAATGTCACTTACATTTATTTGAGTGCTTCAAATGTACCTGAAAGCATAAAATAAACTGACTTGAATTTGTTTTTGGTCTTTAATGTTCCAATTCGTTTGTTGCAGTTACAGTTTTGAGGCCATCTAGTGGCCATAATCATGTTCTGTTCCTCCTCCAGAGGTCAGCAGCGACACTCATGTGTGCTCTGTTATGATGCTTTAACTCATCAGTGCATGCACTTAAAATCTATTAGTCATTCATTTTCCCTCGGCTTAATTTCAGAGGTCACCACAGCAGAATGAACCGCCAACTATTCCAGCATATGTTTTACTCAGCAGATGCCCTTCCAGCTGCAACCCAGCACTGGAAAACACCCAAACACACTCATTCACACTCAAACACTCTGGCCGATTTAGTTTATTCAGTTCACCTATAGCGCATGTGTTTGGATTGTGGGGGAAATCGGAGCACCAGGAGGAAACCCACGCCAACATGGAGCGAACATGCAAACTCAGAAATGCCAACTGGGACTCGAACCAGCGACCTTCTTGTTGTGAGGCGACAGTGCTAACCACTTAGCCACCGTGCCACCTTAAATCTATCACGTGGAGCAAAATAATGTTTGTAAATAATTATTGATAATTAAATTATTGATATTTTGCAATTAGCAGGCCATTTTGATTGGTTTTAAGGAGATAATCACTTAATTTTGACGTATTATGTCTGAAAACAAGACCGTATTTTTTGCTTGTCTGTAAAATGCTTCTTGATTTAAGGATTTTTATATTTTTGGACTGAAAACAGGACAAAAACTGTGAGTAAGAAGCATTTTTAGCAACGTGAATGCAAAAACTTGAGAAATTAGAGCGTCTGAAGAGCTGGATGAGCTGGTTTAGGTGTGGTTTACAAGAGTAAAAGATAAACTCAGCAGGATTTACTCTCCAGGAACAGGTTTGGACAGCCTTGCAGTGGCCAATCAGAGATGTTTAAAGGCACAATATGTACGATTTTGTCATTAAAAATGTAAACGGGTATTAGTTTTGCTCTCGTTATTGGAATACACCCAAAAGTTCTGTCATCACCTACTTTCCCTTCACTTAAGGGCTCGACAATAGGCACCGGTGCCAGCGTGTGAGATGTTCAGGACAGTACACAGGATGATAACAGGCCTAGTTGGGCAAGTGCTGCCTTGTCACTAGAGTTTGATTTGCCTGCGACTGTTTGTCAAGTGCGTGCAAATGCGGTCTTAGGATGCTTTCACACCTAGACGTTTGTTTCTCGTTTGCCCAGTTAGCGCGCTTCATTTGGCATATGTGAATCTCGCAATCAGATCCGCACCAAAACTTTCTAATACGTAAGTGAAAGCATGCTGAAATATTACCAAGTGCTGTTTATCCATTAGGAAAATTGAAAATTGACTATTTTTCCATATGTTAATCCTATAATATTTTGTATTAGGCCTGTTGTTTTGTTCATTTCTGCACTGACACCTCGAAAGAAAGGTCAACATTGATCTGCTTGATCTCCCTTCATCTGTTATTTCTTTCTGTAATTTAAACCTATAATATAAAGCTTTTTTAATTGATTGATTAATTCAATAGATAGATTTTTACAAAGCTTAATTGAAATGAGGCTATGAGAAAGTCTTACCTCTTTGGTTTATATTTGGTGACGACATATATACAGTTGAAGACAGAATTATTAGCCCCCCTGAATTATTCGCCCCTCTGTTTATTTTTTCCCCCAGTTTCTGTTTAACGTAGAGATTTCTTCAACACATAATAGTTTTAATAACTCATCTCTAATAACTGATTTATTATATCTTTGCCATGATGACTGTAAATAATATTAGACTAGATATTCTTCAAGACACTTCTATACAGCTTAAAGTGACATTTAAAGACTTAACCAGTTAAATTAAAATTCATTCAAATGTGAAAGTGTACCTTTTATTTTCTGGCTGGTTTAGCGTGCTGTAATTAATTTAGCTGGTTCCTGCACATGTCTGTAATCAAAGGAAAAAAGAAAAATGTCTCCACCATAATCTATGCAAAAGTTATTGTGTTCCAGCTGATGAGAGGTGCTGTACAAGCCACAGGGAGCGATCATTGTTTTCATATTTCACTGTTCTTTTGTCTGATCAAACATAATTCACTGTGTTTGGAGCACGTCAGACATATAAACCTATTACTTATGCACATCACCTCAAAAACAGAGGAGAATGGCCCTGAAGCGCACAGCATAAGGTAAGAGATGACAGCTGTCTGTGCTATCTGGGGCTGCTTATTGATCATAAATGTATTGTTTTCACTTCTGCGCCATGGAAACACCGAGATTCATTCGGCAACTGTTTGATATGTGAATTTAATTCAGTAAAAAGAACGCCAGAACCGTATGAGCACCGGCAAGAGCTTTCATTTGAGCTATAACGTGTACATATGTCATATGAAAAATATGAAAATAAACCAATGTTCAGCTCGGGTATCCAAAATACTGTGTATTTAAGTGTAAATAACTTTGGTACAGTAGAATAAACAACAAAGTGATGCATATGTGCATAAAATATAGATTCTACATTTTCAATCGAAACCACTTACAGGGGTCTGGTGCAACGCTAGCCCTTTAATTCTTAATGTGAAATTCGATGACGTTAGCGGGTCCGCAGAGTTAAACTAGGTTAATTAGGGTAACTAGGCAGGAAAGGCATTCGCTGCGTAAAACATATGCTGGAACAGTTGGTGGTTCATTCCGCTGTGGCGACACCTAATCAATAAGCAACTAAGCTAAAGGAAAATGAATGAATGAATGTTAGTCAGATTACTGAAATTAATTAATTAAACTAAGAAAAGTCCATCATCAGCTTGAGAATGAATAACTGAGATATCAATATCATCCCTGTTTACTTGCATCCGCAGCAATCTCTGGACAGCCGCTACCGTCTCCTGTGCAAACAGCGGGACGACGCCAAAGACTTGAAGGATAACCTCGACCGGCGGGAGCGCCTGGTGTCCGGCATCCTCTGCAAACAGCTGACGGACACACAGATGCAGGAGTACCGGCGCTTCATCCAGACCAAAGCCTCGCTCCTCATCCGACTCAAAGACCTGGACGAGAAGCAGCGTCTGGGAGAAGAGCAGCTGGAGGCTTTACTCTGCAGTTTACCTCTGTGAGGATGAAGGTGCCCGAGATAAACAGACTTCACTCCGCCTTCATATTTGGGTGTTATTTTATTTTGATGGTCCCATATTTGGACATCCAATAATCAATCTTAAAACCTTTTTGTTTATATTCACGTTTTTTTATTGCAAAAAGAGACATTTCACAGCAGCTGTTTTTACAGCAAATTCTCCAAATTAAATTCCCTAATCAGGGAAAGAAAACTAAAGCAGCACATCCTTTTACATCATAGGTCTCAAACTGGGTTCCTGGAGGGCCGCAGCTCTGCACAGCTTTGCTTCAACCCTAATCAAACACAGCTGATCCGACTAATCAAGGTGTTCAAGACCACCAGAGACTATTAAGCAGATGTGAGCTGGTTGGAGCTAAACTATGCAGAGCTGTGGCCCTCCAGGAATTGAGTTTGAGACCACTGCTTTACGTGATCTTCCATTAATACCAAAAATGTTTACAGAAGTAACCAGACCATTAGATAAGATCCTTAGCGTTTAGCCCTGTATAAGTCTAAAATTTCACTCAGATTGGTCTTAAAATGGTCTTAAGAAGTCTTAAGTTTGACTTGAAACCTGCAGAAACCCTGTTTAAGAAACTCTAACCTTACAGTCCACTAATACTCTTATTTATTTCTTATTCAGAGCTTTTGTCTCATTCTAGTCCGAATATCTGCAAACTCTTAAATCAAAAAGCAATTTCTAGAAAAGTTTAAATTATTGTCTTGTTTTCAGAAATAATAGGTGAGTTTCTCCTGAAAACGAGCAAAATAACCTGCCAATTAGAGTGAGGAATATACTCTTGAATACACTTTGAAATAAGACAACTTTACTTGCCACATTGGCAGATTATTTGAGCACAGGATCATTCTGAAAATGCACCCCGAGATACATTTCTGGAGAGCGTGAATTATGTAGCCAGAGCTATGTATGGCTGCATTTCATCTTTAAAATGAAGGTTTTTTTATTGCAAAAAAGATGCAATTTACAACAGCTGTTAGGCATTTTTACAGCAAATTCTCCAAATTAAATTCCCTAATCAGGGAAAGAAAACTAAAGCAGCACATCCTTTTACATCATAGGTCTCTAACTGGGTTCCTGGAGGTCCGCAGCTCTGCACAGCTTTGCTTCAACCCTAATCAAACACAGCTGATCCGACTAATCAAGGTGTTCAAGACCACCAGAGACTATTGAGCAGATGTGAGCTGGTTGGAGCTAAACTATGCAGAGCTGTGGCCCTCCAGGAATTGAGTTTGAGACCACTGCTTTACGTGATCTTCCATTAATACCAAAAATGTTTACAGAAGTAACCGTACCATTAGAAAAAATCCTTAGCATTTAGCCCTGTAAAAGTCTTAAATTTCACTCAGATTGGTCTTAAAATGGTCTTAAGAAGTCTTAAGTTTGACTTGAAACCTGCAGAAACCCTGTGTAAGACCCTCTAACCTTACAGTCCACTAATACTCTTATTTATTTCTTATTCAGAGCTTTTGTCTCATTCTAGTCTGAATATCTACAAACTCCTAAATCAAGAAGCAATTTCTAGAAAAGTTTAAATTATTGTCTTGTTTTCAGAAATAATAGGTGAGTTTCTCCTGAAAACGAGCAAAATAACCTGCCAATTAGAGTTAGGAATCTACTCTTGAATACACTTTGAAATAAGACAACTTTACTTGCCACATTGGCAGATTATTTGAGCACAGGATCATTCTGAAAATGCACCCCGAGATACATTTCTGGAGAGCGTGAATTATGTTGCCAGAGCTATGTATGGCTGCATTTCATCTTTAAAGTGAACGCTATGGGGTGGTATGATGTAGCCGACAGCTTTTGTTTCCTCTCGTGCTACCAACTGACCACTTACCGCTGTATGGACGGCTTTTCTGCTTAGTAGCTAGCTATGTGCGTCGGTGGACTTTAGATGCAGAGAGGAGTTCACCGTGATGGCAGGGATCAAGTCTGGCGAAAAACGGTTCCAGAGAGCAGGTAAGACAAAAACAAAAGGCAAAACATAGAATAAACAAATAACAGGGTGAGAATGTGGTAAAATCTAAAAAACGTGGTAAAAATCAGACGAGGACGTTTTTTTTTTTTCTGGAATGCTGTTGAAAACACAATCAGTCAGGTTTAGAGATGTGGGTGGGCGGGTCAATCAGTGCTTTTGAAAACACTATTGGTTGGGTTTAGGGAAGTGGGGGTTTGGGGATATCAGTCGGTCGACAGCGGCCTCTGGTGGATTTATGCAAGAACAACAACAATCTGGTGGATTTGAGAAAGCAAAACCTGCAAAAAACACCACCTGGGACATATTTGTCACTAGAGGTGTGAACCTATACTGGTCTCACGGTTCGGTTACGATTATCATGCCTTCGATTCGGTTCAATTCGATATCACGGTGCATTGACGATGCTTTCCATATACAGTGTTATATTTTAGGGGGGATATAACAAGCTGTCTGTATAAACACACAGACACACAGCACCACACTGTCTCTCATTCAAACACATACACAAACATAGACAGCACCAAACAAACAAACACACACACACACACACACACACTTAAGCCCTCGCAACAGGGAGAGCTCGCGCTGAGTGGAGCAGAAAAAAAAAAACGAAAAAAATAAGCACTTTTCCGACGGTCCCTTACTGAGAGCTCCTCTCAGCTCCTACCGGCTAAACACATATTGCGAGGGCTTAAACGGAGCAGTGCTCGTAATGTCGTGCAAAAAAAAAGAAAGACAGCTGTGAAACATAACCAGCTTTGTCTTTTTGTAGGAAACTCACTTTAGATCTTTTTAGGGTAAGAGGTTTTTGAGTTATTGCCGTCTATCACTGAATGTGTGTCAGGAAAATCAAAAACAAAACCAACTGAACTGTGCTCATTTCTGGCGCCCCCTGGATATACAGCACCCTTAGCATTTGCCTATGGTGCCTATGTCACGGACCGGTCCTGAGCGACAGAGCGCATAGGAGATAAATGACGTCAGTACATAATAACCGGTTATGATTATTACTAAACTGATACAGAATTGTCCGCGTCTGCATTGCGGTGCACCAAAGAAACAATTAATTTTGACACCCCTATTTTTCACTCTCTAGAAATGTATATAGGGGTACGCATCAATAATGAGCCTGACTTGGATTATTTTGCTTGTTTTAAGGAAAAACTCTCCTAATTTTGGCATATTATTTCTAAAAATAGGACAATTTTTTTTGCCTGTCTAAAAATGCTTCTTGAAGTAAGAAATTGTAGATATTTGGACTAGAAATAATACAAAAACAAGCATTTTTTGCAGTAGTTGCAATGTAACTTAAAACAGCTAAATGTGTTAAAAGGATCATCAAAATAAAGCGATACCGATATTTGTGCTCTGCGGTTGTATAAAGCTGACTTTCATGACCATGGAAAGCTTTAATATGTAAGAAAGTTGACATAGAAATGCGCCCTATCCAGTGTGCATCAAAGCTCACGCTGAAATCACCACCAAAAACAACACAAAGCAGTGGAAATAAGCACTTTGAAGATGAACTGCACATACTCCATAGGAACAATACACATGGATGATGTTTATTCCTTTCGATTTCAGGGTTTCGTGATTGTGTTGACGCTGGAACTTTTTCGTTTGTGCCTTTTCGTCCTGTTGATTTCATCATGTTGAATGTATTTGAGTACTTCAGAAGAGCTGTTTTCAGATTTGAAGAGTGTTTGGTGGTGAGCAGTTTTTAACACTTGCATTTTTTTATATAGAAGCACTTTTTAGTCACTTTTACACTCCAAAAATACGTTTCGCTGCTTGTTTAAGCTACTTATTTAAAATAAGCTGAATCAACACTATTCTTGAGTTTATGTTTAATCCACCTAAATTTGTTTAAACAGTTAAATTAATTTGTGGTGGAAAAATGAAGGAATTGAGTGGAACCCAGCATTTCTTACAGTGTAGTTCAAAAAACAGTCACGTTTTTCATAGAAAAGAGAAAATTACGTAAATTCCCTCAATATAAACTGTGAGATATAAACAGAATTTTATGTTCGGATTAGCATCTTCGTTTAACATAACTCACATTTGAATGTTTTCGAAAACCCAAACCTTAAGGAAAGTTCTGCCTTTGTTTGCGTAACCAAGAAAAATAAAATACGTTCATTAAAGAACATTTGAAAAACATTTCCACTAGTTAACGGTAGTTTGTTAGCTGGGTAGCATCTCAAATTTGTATATACGTAAATCGCATTAGCTTTTTTGCTAATCAACATAACTCGCATTCGAATGATTTTGAAAACCCAAACCTTAAGAAAAGTTTTGCTTTTGTTTTTGTGTAGCCAAGAAAAAGAAAATGTTCATTAGAGAACATTCGGAAAAACATTTCTGCTTATTAACTGGAATTTTATTAGCCAGGTATCACATCGAATTTATATATAAATTCAATTAGCATTTTTGCTAATCAACATAACTCGCATTCGAATGTTTTCAAAAACCCAAACCTTAAGCAAAGTTCTGATGTATGTAATGTTTGCGTATCCAAGAAAAAAGAAAATGCGTCCATCAAAGAACATTTGAAAAAAAATTTCGTTAGTTAATGGGAATTTGCTAGCTGGGTAGCAACTCAGATTTGTACATAATTCGGATAAGCATCTTCGTTCAACATAACTCGTATTTGATTGTTTTCGATTACCCAAACTCTAAGGAAAGTTCTGCCGTATTTAATGTTTGCGTAACCAGGAAAAGGAAATACGTTAATTAGCGAACATTCGGAAAAACATTTCTGCTTGTTAACTGGAATTTGTTTGCTAGGTATCAACTCGAATTTGTATATAAATTTTCATTAGCATTTTTGCTAATCAACATAACTCGCATTCGAATGATTTCAAAAACCCAAACCTTAAGGACAGTTCTGCCGTATTTAATGTTTGCGTAACCAATAAAAGGATACACGTTCATTAAAGAACATTCAGCAAAACATTTTTGCTAATTAACAGGAATTTGTGAGCTGGGTAGCAACTCAAATTTCTATATAAAACGCATTAGCTTCTTCATTAAACGTAACCAAGTCGTAGCACTCACTCTGGTCTCCCGGGCGCTGCAAAGGTTGGTGAAATTCCAAATTGAACCAAAACAAATGATTACAATTGGCTTAGGATCGGCGATGAAAATTTGGCAAATGCAACCAGCAGAACCTGGGAATTAAAAAAAAAAAAAAAACGTAACTCCCATTTAAATGTTTTCGAAAATCCCAAACTA